TTTTTCTAGCAACTAGTGTTTTTTTTTCTTTTTTTTTTTTAGGCAGTAAGCGCTTTGGCAGGAGTTCAGGACCAGCTGATTGAAAAGAGTAAGTTTATGTTTTTACTTTTTCATCAATTTATTTTGAAGCTACCATAGTTCCTATCTTTAACTCCTATCTAACTGTATTATCTGAAGATTGCATCTCTTTTACTCTTGGGTTTTCTTTCTAGAAGTTAGTAATCCTTTCGCGTATCTTTAATCATGTCTTTCTTATGAGAAAGAAATTATCATGTCCTTCCTTCCTGCCTCTTTTATCACAGGAAGGTTGATGTTAGCTGCTGAAAGACGCAAAGGTATATCTTCACTTCCGATAAGTCTTAGGGAATTTTCTTAAAGTTAAAAAAAATTTTATCATGGAAGATTTCAGACATATCTAATAAATCTCCATGTACTAAACTTAATAATTCTTAGGAAATTCTGATCCTGTAAACAGAATGTACCTGTGTATTCCTAAATATAAAATGGAGAGTAGGTAGTATTTACTTTGTAGAGAAATTGGCATTCTCTGTTTGTGAGCCATACAATCTAATTCTGTTATGTTTCTAGTGAGGGGATATAGACCTGTGCATTTATCTTTCTGAGTCATACTCTGTGTAGCTGTTTTGGATGCTCTCCCAGTGTGTTGGATGACTTTGAAGTACAACTTGCTTTTTGTATAGTGGCTTTCTATTTCTTTCAGATGGTATATTTTGTGGGATCCAGTTCTTTTGTTTGCATTGGGGCAGTAGTTTGAGGAAAAGGGATTTTGGTAGTTTGGGAATTTACTCAGTGACTTCAATTATTATGTCTATGTACAGATTTCTAAATTTTTAGCTCTATCCTTAACCCCTTTCTTGAGCTTTAGTCATATATTTCTAGAAAATTCTAGAAAATGCATTCTAGACATTTCCACTCAGGTTGTTAAACCCAAACATTTTGTCTAAAACTGAGCTATTCTGTTTCTTCTAGAATGTGTCTGCCTACTTTTTCTGTTACAATATCTCTATTCTCCCTCATTCAAAACTTTGTAGACATCTTTACTTCTTTCACCAGCCTAATCAGTTGTACCAAGTCCTTTTGCATTCTCTTTTGCTATGACTGTCAGTTAAATCTTACTTCTTTTCAATTAATGCCACTTTAAGAGTATAGAGCCATTTTATCTGCTTTGTAGAGTAATAATACTGGCTAAGGAATATTCTAGATCTCGTTCCTGTGAGTTGAGATAGAATGATATCTGACTTCTCAGTTTTCACAAGAACCTATTATCCTGTCCCTGACTTAGCAGATAGGTTAGTATATGACTCTACTCAGTTATTCACACAGAATAGCTACACCTAAGTACTTGTCAGGAAAAGACTCTTCAAGCCACTGCTTTCAGAAGCTTGACTGAAACAAATACTTATGTATTAAAGATTTTATGGAGCATAAGCAGACTATCCATTACCCTAAAATCTTCCTCCTAGATTGAGCCTCACCTCTGCAACACATCATACTGGTATACCTTGGTCTTCCCTACATAGTTGCATTTGGTCTTGTAAAATGTATCTTTCCATTGTAAGAAGATGTTACAATTGTTATTATCATTCTCATTATCATCTCCTTTAAGAATAACTGTTTTCCCTGACGGGCTATTTTTTTTTTTTTTAGTGAAAATCTTATAATTGACTGCTAAAATGCTTAAAGCCAAATGTGTGGTTCTCCTCTAGAAAGCAAATAGGAATTTATAGCATATATTTTGAGACTGAATCTTAGTACTACATCCAGCTTACTTTCCTCTTTGCTTTTCTTATCTCATTTTAAATTTATTTTATTGGATTTTATTAGAAGAGTCTCATTAAGCTGCCTTGAATTCTCTTTGTAATAGGGTATACAGAATTACATAACTACTGGAGTTCATTAATTCAAATGGTCAGAGCCCCTTTAAAGTTTTCCTATTGCATTTTGTCTCACCGCCTCCATTACCACTTCTCTCTGCTATTTTTAAGATTTTATTTTTGTCTTGATTTTCTGTAGTTAACTACAATGTGTCTAAGTATGAATTTTTTATTTTATTTTTTTCATCTGGCTTGGGTTTCACTGGACTTCTTGAACTGCAGTTTGGTGTTTTTTTAAATCAGTTCTGGAAAATTCCTAACTTATCTTTTCAGATACTGCATTCGTTTTATGTTTTCTCTTGTCTCTTTCTGATACTCTGGTTAAATGTATGTTAAACCTTCTAATTTTATCCTTTATGTTTTTCATTATCTCTTCTATATCTTCTTTTTTTCTCTGTGGTGCATTATGAGTGATTTTTTTTCTGGACTACCAGTTCCTCATTGTCTTTTCAGTTGAATCTGATTTGATGTTAAACCCTCCCTTGACTTTAAATCTTCTGTTATTACATTTTTATTTCCAGAAATTCTAATTAATTACTTTAAATATCTGCTATGTAATTTTTCAATAGCTTTTTTGGTAGTTATTTTTAAACTTGTCTTTTACTTCTTTAAGTATAATATGCACAGTTATTCTAAAGCCTTTCATATCAATTTCTGAAGTCTTTAATGACCTGCTTTTGTTTGTTGTTTCTGCTGGTCATTACTCATGAAATCTTATCTCCCTGTATGTTTGGTTATTTTTGTGTACTGCTCATTATTATTAAAAGTCTTTGTGGAATACTATGAGGACAGAACAAAAGTTCTGTCTTCCAGGGAAGACTCGTTTGCTTCTGCTAGGTGCTTGGACCTCTTTAAACTCAGTTTGGGGCTTGGGTATCCCTGGATGACCCAGGTGATTAAACAAAGCTTTAATTTCATGAGAAGAATGATCTGCCTTGCCTTTCATTTCTTTTCCTTTGTAAAGAATCTCTTTAGTGTCTCAGACATTGTGGAATGACCTCTGTTTTTGATCTTTGGTGGCAATAAAGTGAATACTCTTTTCTTGAATTTTGACTTGCATATTCTTAGCTCTCAAAGATTTTAGAGTTTTGTACTTTCAGCATTTTATTTACACACTATTCTGAAAATTTTTCTTAAAAAATGCCTTACTTTGTGCTTCCTTGGCTAAGACATGATAAAGTAGATTAGCATGGTCCCCAAAGGAGAATTTTATGCAGATTAGTGAAGTATTGTATGTAATTTTTAAAAGATTAAAAGAAAAACAAAACAGGCAGATTTTATCCAGTTTCCTTTAAAGGATCAGCACAGTCTCTACTGTTTGTTTTACCGGACTCCTCTGAAGCTTTCATCAAACCAAATCTCTCCTCAGCATTTACATCATTCCAGTGGGTAAGTAGATAACTGCATGAATTGTTGTTCTGGATATCTTCCTTTCCTCCTTTAAACTTTTTGTGCTGATCAGAAGTTATTGCACTGGCACTATATAATAGCTATTTCTTTCTTTTAATAAGTAGAGTGTGTCATTTTGAAGACTCATTAAACTTAATCAACATCTGATGTTCTTTGCTCTAAAAATGAGTTACATATTTTTATGTCAGTAAGAAACAAACTTATGTGTCTTTCCATGGTGGCAGCACCATACGGTTGACTGAGTAGCTGGTACACTTTGAGATGTTGTCACCCACCCCTTTTGCCATCACTCTTCTTCTGGTTCCACGAGCCAAGGAAGAAAATTATTCTTACTTTGTGTCTCACTTTGTATGTTAACAGTGTTTCATCTAGTCGCCCTGGCTCCAGTCCCTCTTATAAACCTCTTCTAGCCTAATAATCCTAAAACACAGATTTGTATAGAGAACTCAGTAAATATTCATTATATGTCAGTTCTCTACTCAGACATTCTTGATAGCTTCGCCTTGTTATGATACCCTGCTAACAGCTAGTCTTTACTGTTTGTTTAGAATTTGACTTGCATGCTTGTAGATCTCAAGGATATTGAGATTTGAACACTTAACTGTTTTCCGGACACTAAGCACTTTACTTGCATTATCTTGTTTAATCCTTAAAGCTACTCCTTGAAAATAGGGAACACTGCTGTAGCCCCAGTGTCTAGTCCAGTGCCTGGTCCATAAGAGATGAAAGAAAGAATTTTTATTTTACAAATGGGGAAACACCCATAAAGGTTAAGCAATAAGTCAGTTCTCTTAATCATCACCTGATACTGTCTCTCTAGATAAAATCCCTTAATCTGACATTTATGAGTACTCTTAATCTGTCATTCTATTTCACCTCTCATTTTTCAAGCTCTCTGTTGAAGTGATGTTATTTGATTCATTTGTTCCAAATATACTTTGTGTTTTCTCACCTCTATGTTTTTGCTTGTGCTGTTTTTGTACTTATTTTGGCTTATCATTTTTCAAGGTCTAGTTTAAATTTCACCCCTTCATTGCAGCTTTTCCTGAATAATCCAGTCTTTCTTCTCTGACTTCTATGATACTTAATATCCATATCAGTACTTTGGGACATTGATTACTGCCTAAGTTGTTACCTTTTAAGAGAGGTAATATAGGTGGTTACTTCATTCATAGGGCTTTGATTCAATTTACACTGTTTTGTATGTGTTTGCATACGTGTGTATGCACATATGTGCTTACCTTATAGAATATGACCAACTCATCCATTTACTCAGTGCTCCCATAGCATGTGGCCCAAATGAATAAATAGCTCATTTTGCTCATCAATATCTTTTAATAGATTTGTCCCGTCAGCATTGGAAGGGCCAGATTGGTCAATATACCCTTGCTGAAAATCAATCGATCATGTATGTTAAGGATTTATTTATATCTGGACTCTGAATTCTCTTCTCTGGATCTGTATGTCTGTTCTTATGCCAATGCCACACAATCTTGATGTAGTAAATTTCAAAGTTCTTTTGCTAATTTTATATGAAATCTCTTTTCCTGAACTTTAGAAGAGCCGGATTGGTCAATATACTTTTTCTAGGTGCATAATTCTAGAGCTCCCTCTGTTGTTTCATGAGGTGTCCAGAAATAGGGTTTCATGATTTTAGAGATCTGGTTCTGTTTCTTTTGCTTTTGGGGGACCACCTCTTTTACTTCTTCTATCCATGTGCTACTTACTCAATTTGAAATTTCTTCCCAGCAGTTTATAAAACAAAGACATAAAAAGAAAACTGGCCCCTGGTCCTGCTGTCCACATAACCCCTTTTGACAAATTTTAGAAACAGATAAAGCTACATATTTAGGATACTTCAGCAGTCAAAGTAAAGTGAAAGTCGTCCTCCATCTTTATCTATTAGAGTTTCAAGAAATTCCTTTCAGGAAAAAAAAAGTATACATTTATCAAAATATATATAATTCTTAAAATATGTATATTTATACAAATTATTCTTGAAGCTGCGTATTTAAAATATCTAAGGGATGTTTCAAAATTGGGAACATGTTTCAGCTGAAGAGTATTATTACTATTTTAAAAAATAATATTCTTGAGTCTTCTTGGAGTAACTCAGGTAACGAGGCTATCCTCATGGGTCCCTTTTCTTGATAGAAGGGCTGGATTCCTGTATGGTTTGGGGAAGGAACCAGAGCTAGCCATAGGAAGTTTTCTCAAGATCATCCTTCACCTCCCAAAGACCTGTTTTCAGTAATGCTTCTTGTATAATTATTAATTCTATTAGTGTAGTGTGTGTTTAAATAACCTTTATGCAGGTTATCCAGGTTGTGTGATCCCATCTCCCTTAGATCTGTTGCCTCTGGTTACACTGTTTAAGATTACATGTTCTTCAGGAACTCTGGTAATTTTGATGCCTGACTGTATGTATCTTGTCAATTAGAAGGTATGGTCAGTGGGGATAGGAATATAGTCTTTTTCTACATATTAATGCTCAAAAAGATCTCTCCTGACTGACAGAGTACCTGAGGGATTCTGATGATATTTCTGGGGATTTGTGTTTATTCCCTCCAGGGGAACCAGGAAGTGGGACAGAAAGTGATACTTCTCCAGACTTCCACAATCAGGAAAATGAGCCTAGCCAGGAGGACCCTGAGGATCTGGATGGATCTGTGCAGGGGGTGAAACCTCAGAAAGCTGCTTCTTCTACTTCCTCAGGGAGTCATCACAGCAGCCATAAAAAACGAAAGAATAAAAACCGGCACAGGTCAGTGGCAGGGACCAACCCCCACACCCCGTAACCCCTAAGGCCCCAACCGACCCCACCGCCCACAGCTTCCAAGACCAATGCTGTGAAGGGACTTTACTAGAATAAAAATTCTTCAGAATTGGTTCAGTCCTTCTGTCGCTGTTGGGAAGAATGTCTGCTGGCCCAAATGAAACAGACTGATTTTTCTCTTTCTAAGGGAAGAATTGGTGGACGTCAGTGTAACCATGCAGGAGGACAGCCTTCTCACTGTTTCTAGTGTAGAAGAATTTTATTCCATAAAAACTTTGTTGAATACAGTGAATTTAGATTTTTTTTTAGAAGTGGGAAAGGGGAAATAGAAATGGAATCTGTGTAATAGTATTTGAAAAATGCCACTAGTCATTTTGGGAAGCTACACAGTGGGATCAAGTCCTTTGTTCTTCACCCTGACCCCTGCCTGCTCTTGTTCCCTCGTGTGTGGAGAGGACTAATCTGACATGCCTTCTTTTCTTTTTAAATCCAAGTTTTTCGATTGCTTGTGATCTCTCTTTTTTATGTATCTCTGCAATATGCTGGTTTCAGATATCAGAGGAACAGTATAAAGTCTATAAGATGTGAGCGTGTCTTCCTAGATAACATTTGTCCACTGTGTTTTTTTGCAGTGCGTAATGAGATAGGAATGACATCAGTGGACAGAGAGGTCAGGTGTCACCCAGAGAGGATTTTAGCATTCACTCTGCTTGGGGTTTGTATGATGATATGGAGCCTATTAACTCAGATAATTGGAAATTATACAGCTGCACTCAGGGAGGGTAACGCATAGTTTCCAAGGAGAGGAATTCTTGCCTTGGCCTCAGACCTTCTGGGAAGCACGGAAACCAGGTGTCCAGAGGCTGGCTTTTCCTGGGAGCCTGCATGCTGAAGAGATGAAAGGAGGCATCTGGGGCGGTGTTCCCTGTCCTCCAGTTTGCTTCTGGGTTGGGTTCCTTTGTAAACTTGTAGGATATTCCTCCATGCGCCCAAGGTATTAAATTGTTAGCTCCAAGGTATTAAATTGTTGGCACACGGGGATAATATAGAATTAACTAACTGGTTTATGCCTCCTTGGCATCAACTGATTCTTTAATTCTTTTAAGAGTTTTTCTTGTCAGTGGTAGTGGTGTTTAGACTGCAGAAATAATATTTCCTCCAAATAGACTAAGGCCTGCTGCTTAACGTTTTTCGGTAAACCACAGATCACCATGCCAATCTCGTAAGTGCAGGAAGAAATAGCAAAAATTACATATCTTTTCTTTTTTGTAAGGCTACATATCATTTGATCACTGTGATAGGACCGATGCTAGCTTATCACAAGCAATTGCAGAGTACCATACTCTTAAAAATGTTTTTTTAATTGTCAAGATAATTAAATGTCATGCTCTGTGTTGCTTTTATTAAATTTACTCCTGCCTCATTTTACAGCTATGATGCTTTTCTTATTTCAGAGTGTCTAGAATAGGGGGGAAACTCCATGAAAGTTTCTAGAACATTTTTTTCTATTACTAATACAAATAGACTCTAGATAGCTATTGTTTATTTCAGATAATACTTTATTTTTCTTAGCAACATGATCAGCTGATGATAAAATGGTATTAGGCATTGAACTTAACTTCTTGCAGGTTTCTAGTAGATTTTCATAGGAACAGTACTTTTTTCTTCCCTTTTCTCTCCTGGCCCTAGAAGCTAACTCCTTCCAGAAAAATACTAGGACTTTTAAAGATCTCTAGTGTTAGTTATTATTTTCACAAATGGTGTTTCTGTTTGGAAAACAGGGTCCTGTGGTCATTTCTCTGGTTTAATCTGGCCGGGCTTCTCTCTTGGATTTAGGCACTCGCCTGCCCCAGGGAGCAGGGTGGGGCTGGTTTGCCTTCTTTCTTGGGAAAACAGGTTCAGTATGCCTGAGTGGCACCTCAGTGACCATTTAAGGGGCTCAGATTCCTGACATCTTTAGTCAGGAAATGTGTCTGGCCCAAACTCCTCGCCTCCTTGACCACTAGTACAGCGGTCCCCAACCTTTTTGGCACTAGGGACCGGTGCTGCTATGAGAATCTAATGCCTGATGAGCTGAGGTGGGGCTGAGGTGGTGATGCCAGCACTGGGGAGCGGGTGCAGATACAGATGACGCTTTGCTGGCTCACCCGCCGCTCACCTCCTGCTGTATGGCCTAACAGGCCACTGACTGGTACTGATTTGCGGCCCCATGGTTGGGGACCCCTGTCTTAGTGGGTCTGACAGAGTGGAGGTGAGGGTGGAGCATTTTGTACACATTTGTAAGTTTGCACCCAGTATAGTACTTGTTTCTCCTCCAACATGCCACAGTAAAGTCAGATCAAGTCAATAGTAAATTATTTCAATAAATGTCTGAGTACCTACTATGTGCCAGGCACTGTTTAGTGGTGAGTAAAGCAAAGTGGAAGCAAATGTGGTACTTTAGCAAAAAGGAATAACTTTCGAAGTTGTCCTTTTCAGGAATATGATAATTTATCAAATAATTTTTTAGCATTCATAAATGATCACATTGTTCTGAATTTTTATATTTTACATGATATCTGAACAATAAGTCCCAGTATCTTTAAAGAAAAAAATTGAAATAACTTACAGCTTTTTCTTTAGGTAAACTACTATACCAAACTCTAAAATTCTTCTAGGTAGTTTGTGAAGTTTTCATTAAGTAGGTACAGTCCACTTTAATTTATGAACAAAGATAAGTGAAGCCGAAAGTTAAATTTTTGATAGTTGCTGTTTTTCACACTAACTGTACACTCCCAAATGAGTGAAACTGTCGCATAAAGGTTATTGAAGTTAAGCTTTCTTTCAGCTTCACTCTTGCAAATATTGGCTAGGAGAAAAAGATAGCCATTTCGCATATTGTTTTACCATCTGTCTATAGTCCAAAAGGCACTGGAACCATCTAAGGAGCTGGTGCCATGCTCGGGCTTCATGTTTGCTTTGGGGGGGTCTCTCCAGACCACAGTCTGTTAGCAGTGATGGCCCCAAATGGTCTCCTTCTCATGTTACTCCCATCCAGATCCCTGAGGCTTGGGTGCTTGTGGGTATCAACTTTCCTTTGTTTTCATAGGGGTGCTGCAGACTTTGGTGTTCCATACCTGTAGCCCTGACACAAACAGTTAACTGCCATCACCGTTCAGGCTCTGCAGTTTCTGGAACAAGACTCACCAATCACTGAAGTTTATTCATTCGACCCTTGGCTTCTAGGATGAATGCTGTAGACAAGGATTACCATGTTCCCTGGACAGGACTAGAACATATAATTTGAGTTAAAAGTTGCAAAATGTTTTTTCTTTTTTAAAAAATGTATAATGTTTTTATCTTTGATTTTAGTGCAAGTATGTTTTGCTGAGTTGTTAGTTCTGTCTTCAAAGCGCCTTTCACTATATGACTGACTAAACCCTTCTTTCTCTATTTCTTCTAATGTCCTAATTATATTTGTCATTATAATTAAATATTTTCAAAGTTCTAACTCTGAATCTGACAGCTAATACAAGGCCTGCAGGTATCTAGTTTTCTAATGAAATAACTTTTCCTTTCATAGTCTGTTCTTCTGATATGAAAACCATAGAGGGAAGGGAATCTCCCAACCACAAAATCTTTGGTGCTTTGATGTTTGAAACTTTATGGCTTAAGATTCTTAAAGCTGATTTTTGTTTCTACAAACCTTGTTAGGGTGGCTAATCGACTAATGTATTCAATTAGTATATTAATGTCTATTGCTTTCTTCCTTTCAAATGCTGCCCCTCAGCCCGTCTGGCATGTTTGATTATGACTTTGAGTAAGTTTGATTTGAATTAGTATTTGTGCTGTGTTGTTTAGTATGTAGAGACCAATATGCCTTTTTGAGACCTTTCTAACCCATAGTTTATCTGTTTAATTGTAGGTATGTATATTAGGTTAGGCTGGGAAGTTTTTTTTAAAAACAGAAAAACGTGATGGAGGTAACATTTTATTTAATAACTTCAGCAAAATTAAGTAAACTTCACTTTTATGCATTTTAATTGCTTTTAAAATAGATAACTTCTTTAATTCATATTTAAATTGATTTTCTGGCTTTGCTTCATAAGGAGATTAATAGTTTAAGATCTTGATATTTTGCTATAGAAAGATTTAAAAATTGAAATTTGTTTTAATTTCTTTTGTGTTTCATGTCCAGAAATACAAACTCCTAGTCTCTTTCCTGTTCTTAATCACCATGTGTTTCAGTGATTATCAGTGATATAGTTACAGAGCTAACACATTAATGTAGAGCATGCCCTCTTAATCCAATCTTTTTAACATATAATTTTGGAATAATTTTAAAAAATTATATGGCTTTTATAATTGCTATATATTTCTTTTTGAGTCACCTATGTTTGCCTTTTGGCAAAGAGTATCTGCTCATGTTTTTAAATACCTGTTTAATAATATCTGGATAAACAACTAAATATGACATAGTCTAATGAAGAATGTGGATTTTACTTAACCAAATAGTCTTTGTTATAGCTTGTGCCCTATGCAGTAGCTGATTCTCAACTCTTTTTCTGTAAATTAAAATGCAAATATCTTTTATCTTTCCTATACAGGATTGATCTGAAGTTAAACAAAAAACCACGAGCCGTAAGTATCAGTTGGAACATTTCAGAGAGGCTGGTAATTTTGTAGATGATTAGAAAAATGTATTTGTCTTCAGAGTTTGAGTGTCCCTAATCTAGGGTTGCATCTCTAAATTTTTTAAATCTGGGATGTCCCTCTGTAACAGCTTTCAGCTGTTACTTACTTTTTAAAAAATATTTCGGAGAGAGGGTTTGTACATTTTTATTGAAGAAAACTTCCCTTTGATTAAATAATGAATTGTTAATACTAGCTTTTTTTCTGACTGATGAGCTCAGGATGTCTAATAATTTGGGCAGAGTTGGCGTTTTAGTCCCCCGGTGGACTCAGAAGGTAGGCCATTTTCAGATGTGAAATATTGTACTTTACATTTAAAATGGAATCACTAGCTACAGAACAATCCCCTAGCAGAGTGTATGAGGTTCGTTTGTTTTAAAAGTTTAAACCAATGTTCTGCTGAGAATTAATTGGGCCATTGTTTTTCTCTCTTTAGGACTATTAGAAGACTCATTAGTGCAGAAGCCTCCAGGCTTTAGAGCCCTGCTTCCCTCCTCTGACCTCACAAAGATAAACATCCCTCACCTGAGTGTATGGCCATCCACTTCTGCTTTCCCAGACCCAGTGCCTGTGACTCTGAGTAGTTTGTTCTGAAATGTGGTGACAAAGAAGTCATTTCCGTAAGACCACGTCGGATCATTTACTTTGTGTCATTTTTAGTAACAGAACTGCAGGAAGACCAAGACATGGTTATAATCCCAGCAAGTTGCTAACTGAATCTCTCCCTTCTTGGAATGAATGTCTCCCCCAAACTGGCTGGCACCAGCTTCCTGTGTGACACTCATCGAGAAATGGTCTCTGCTTTTGTTTTATGCTGAAAGTAGAACAGAGGTCACATTTCAGAGGGAGGCTGTAAATACCTGAAGTTTTCTTATTTTGTTTGTGTTTTATCATTTTTCTATTGTTGTTTTTACCATCTTATTTTCTTTTGGGACTTTTTGTAATGCCTTTGTACAGCTCATACCTCCCACTGACGTAGCTGATGATCCTTTTTGCGGAGTTGCCAGTATGCTTACCTGAGAGCAGCCTGGTTTACCATAATTAAATGGGGAACCTGACCCTTTGGGTTTTTTTGCAGGGGAAAGGTAAAAAGTGTTTATTTAATAATTACCTATCTTAAATCTCTGAGTCGGAAGCAGTTTCATGTTCGAGGAATAGGAAAGCTGAAAGACATAAATTTAAATCAGTCCTTTTAAAATATTTTTATTCTTTTGTATAAATAAAATTTCACAGGCTTTGCCTTCTCATGCTTTACTTTTAAACCTGAGATTGTGTTTTCACTTATTTATTTGTATCATGCTTTATGGAAATTTCTTTCCTTGCCCATCTTTTCTCTCTTTGCTGGTATTAGCCTGATCAAATATTGCTCTTAAAATCATTAAGGCATGTGGAAAGACTCAAAGTTGTACCCAGAGCTGATAACCTATGGAGTTCTTGAGCAGAGTGAAAGATAGGGACGAGAGCCAGCGGTGCCGGCAGATGCCCCTTCCTCGTGGGAGCGACGGACTGAGGAACTCGCTGATGACTGTTACCTGCCTGGAGCAGTGGTGGTCTACCTTCGCTACACATTGGAGTCACCTGAGAAGCTTAACAAATACTGATGCCTGGGTCCCACCCCCCAGAGACTCTTGACTAGGATACAATCTAGTTATGGGCATTTCTTTCAAAGAGTCCCCAGGGTTCCAATAGGAAGCCAGATTGGGAACCACTGCGTTAGGAGACAGGATGGTGTGATTTACATCCTTTGTAATGAATGAGTCTAAGAGATAAGATTTGGGGCCTCACCTTTTGTTTGACTCTTTAGTCATAGTCCTTTACTTATGCCCATATCTTTGTTAGAAAAAAATGTTCCATTTGTGATAATATTGATAGAGCTGAATATGGGTGGTGTCTATTATCAGAACAATTCTACCTTGTCTGATGTGCAAAAGCTTTCACTCTTGTTCTCAAATAAACTTTGTTTTGTTTTGGACTCTGTGGCTATTTAGATGTTGGCTATGTTGTTGGTAGCAGAACTCCAGTGTCAGGATTTTTAAGGAAATAGTTTCTTAGATTGTTCCTTAAAAAAAAAAAAAAAAAAAGCTAGAAACAGTAAAAAGCAGAAGCATTCTGTATCCTTGTCGGTTTGTCTCCTTTTTGGGGACAGAGGGGTAGGATACCTATGGTTTTCTCAACCGTGGAAAGTATATGGCAAACCGAAGATATTTGATTATAGTCCTAGAGATATAGCAGGACTGCTCTTAAAAAGATATATTATTTAAAAAACATATCTATATATGAATATACCCATGTATATATATGATCATAGAGCTAGGCTGCTTTACATTTATTTTCTCTCTCAAGTTTAATCATTAGTTAGGGGAACCTCCCAGTTTTTCTGCGAGTCGGCCAGGTGTACTGGAGATTTGCAAGACCTGAGAGATTGTTTAGGTTCCCTACATTGAGGTGGTTTAGAAAAAGGCACCAAGGGATATCTGCCTACCATGCTTGTCACAGGTACTTGAAACCTTGATTATAAACTAAGTTTGCTTGACTTTAAAATAAGATGAGGCAATGGCTTTGATCAAGTCACTGATCAGAAGAACAAAGGTGCTAACACCGAGGGACACATTCATTTAGGTAGCAGTACCCACCAATAACAGTTGGTAGAGGTGTTCTGGGTGGCCTATATCATCCCATCTTAGCCCCCGCCAGTGACTCCTGAACTGGAATGATGGCCAGAACCTGAAGAAGTTCCTGAGTGTGTCCTCACCAGGATAGTTGGGTTTGGAACAGTACTTTGCTTCGGGTCTCAGGGACAGAAAATGAATTGTTTTAACAAACTACACTGTGAGATGACTGGTGACATGTCCTCCCTTCTCTCCTGTAATCCACACGAACAAGAGGGAATGGGAGGGCTGAGGGCAGTCGTGCTAGTTGATTTCTGCCATCTGTGTAAATTTGGTTTTCTGTGCTTTAGTCTTACTTCTAAGATGGGAATAGGTTGTCCTTTGCCCCTTTTGGTAAAGACATTTTTAAAAAGTCCAGACACTGTACTTATATTTTGTCACCCTGGGAGGATGGTGTCTGTCCAAAGCTGCTTGGGTAGTCTCAAGTATACTCTTCCAGGCGGCTGAGGAAATAATTTTTTCAAACTCAAAGTGTTCTAAATACCCTCAGACCCTACAAGCTGTCCACAGCAACTGTGCAGGAACGACCCTCAATGTAAAAGGCTAGAAGCTACGTGGGTCCAGGGGAGGCACTGAAAGGAAACATCACGAATTTGGACAGGGCCAGTGTTGGCTGAGAGCATAGACTTTCAAAGCTGTTACACATTTTAGGGTCTTGAAGTGTTTTAAGGAATTGACCAAAAAGGTTAAACATTCTCCCCACTATTGAGTTTATACTGTTTGCTTAGAAGAAAATCCATTCCTTTGAAAGAGTAGGAAGCAGGCATCAGAATTATTTCCAACTCCAAGCTGGAGCCTTTGGGTGCTGGGTTGATGCAAGTATTCTATAAAGAGTATTCTCGACACCTCGACCTATGCAAGCAAGTGTGAAGTGGCCTGAGCTTGAAAGCAGTCAGTATGCTGTTTTGAAATAGTCTATCTGATTTCTCTGCCACTCAGTTTTACTACAAATTACTGAGGCATTATTACACTAAACATTCGTGCATGAGGCTCAGCTCCAGGGCAGTGCTCTGGTTTGGGTACAATGTGGAGAGAGCAGGTGGTGCTGCTTTGTACACATTTACTTCTCCCAGTGCCCGGGAAGGTGAAGTGCATGGAAGATGCAGAGAATAAGAAAGGACTGGGACTCTCATTCCTGCGTTAATCTAATGTTATTATGTCTGAATTTTACAAGTGCTAAGCTTTGTGATTTGAAACAGTTTTCACTTTGAAAAACTGCTCTGCACAGAGAAGTTCTCACCGCTGAGAGGCTGTGGTGGAGCTGATTCTGATCCTCACTTTGGAGGGCAGTCGTCTCCAGTGGGGAGGCTGTGAAGGGTGGCTCGTGGTGGAGGGGAAGAACATATCAAGACTTTCATTTATATTTACTTGCAGGCTCAGCCTTATTTAGTTCATCACTCTGAGGTGTGTTATGAAGTATACCTAAATATTAGTTCATTAGCACATGTAGGTAATTCATAAATAAATATTAGGTTGAACCACAAGCAATTGCCGATTTTTGACCATTTTTATCTTTATAAATGGCAGTTACTATGTTTTAACATACATGGAGGAGGTATAAATGCTCTAAGGTTTAACTGTTCATGTACAGGAATAAACGGGAAACCTCTAGCCTGTACAACCCTCCTCAGATCCACATCCCTGGCCCCATAACTTATTTCTATACTCCAAGGGGCTTTAAAATATTTAACTTGAACAAGGAATATATGCAAATGACATACATTCAAATGGTACTGAAGTGTAGTCAGTGAAAAGTAAGCCCACCTGTCCCCCAGCCACCAGTTTTTCTTCCCAGAGACAGTTTCATGTGTATCCTTCCAGAGGAACTTTGTACACACGTGAGCAATATGCACACATACACGTGTCTCTTACAGAAATGGTAGCACACGACACACACTGATATACCCTCACTTTTTTCATCTAGCAATACGGCTTAGAGAATGTTCTATATATGCAGCTGCCTCGTCATTTCTATTGGCATGTGTGTACCAAAATTTGTTTAACCAGTCCTCTACTGATGGAGTTAACGTTGTTTCCCATCTTTTGCTATTTCAGATAGTATCGTAGTGTTTTACACACCTCATTTTGCAAATACATTAAGTACCTGTAGGATAAATTTTTAGCAGTGGAATTGCTGAGCCAAAAGGTATATATATGTCAAAGGGTTAAAACACATGGATCTCACTGAGATTTCATCTTTCAGATTATTTTTATTCCCTTCCCTTCCCTTTCCTCCAGTTCTTGAGAATTTTACTTGGGTAATTTGTTATCTAGAATAGATGGAATTTTCTGGAGCTTTAAACTTTGTAGGGGGTATGACTGACCTCCAATGTTGCTTTCCAGAGTAGAGCTGCAGATTAAGAATTCCAAGTTTTTGCCTTCAAATTTACTTTCTGTATTATTCTCTTTAGATT